GTAGTGCATGCACACGAGAGATGGAAGATAGAAGAATCACATGTAGTGCATGCATATACGAGAGATGGAAGATAGAAGAATCACATGTAGTGCATATACGAGAGATGGAAGATAGAAGAATCACATGTAGTGCATGCATATACGAGAGATGGAAGATAGAAGAATCACATGTAGTGCATGCATATACGAGAGATGGAAGATAGAAGAATCACATGTAGTGCATGCACACGAGAGATGGAAGATAGAAGAATCACATGTAGTGCATGCACACGAGAGATGGAAGATAGAAGAATCACATGTAGTGAACGCGCGCATGCGTGCACAGTGAGAGATAGGAGGGTTGGACGATTCGTCGGTACATCGATGTAGTGTGATATAAACCTTTACGATATGTGTATCGATATGTTTGGCTATTAATGATGCACGAATCGATAGTCTACTTAATAAAATCCATATCGTTTAGTAGTGTTTCATCAAAAAAGAATATGAAGGGAACATAACAAATTCGGAATTCAATAGCAGTTGTTTGTATAGCAGTGGCATCTCCAGGATACCGATTTGTAAGCGTCCCCATGATTGATATAATCCTGGTTGATGATGTGATGAACGATGTCATACCAGGAAGACGTAGGAGACTATTGTATCTTCGTGCAGATAATGAAATGTTAAGTTGAGTGGCTTCACATCATAGAGGCGCTTGCGAAAAATACTCGCACGATCAATTTGAAAGAACGAATTTCGCCGGACGTGTTTCCGCATTCGACCGATTCCGCGTACGTGTGCAAACGAAACCGAAGATGTGGAGGCGGGATTGTTACACGTATAAATCCGTTCTCCTGAATAAATCCATATCGTTTACTAGCGTAGTTTCATCAATAAACAAAACAAAAGGAACACAACAGCAGTTGTTTGTATATCAGTAGCATCTCTATGACACCGAATTATACGCGTTACCATGCTGTATGTGCACAAACGAACCCGACAATGCGGAGGCGAAAGCGGCAAACATCGGTGACACGTACCTGTTGACGGGAGAGTCGAGGCGGATCGTTGCCACGGGCGACCGCATGTTCTTGATCTCCCACACCTTGACCATGCGGTCATCGGAGCCGGACACGACCTTGTCACCGGCCGTGAAGACCGCCGACGTGACTGACCTGCAACAACAGATGACGACGACGATGGTGACAACGCTACTCGCTACTAGCGCCACCTACATTCACTTACGTTAAGTCACAAGTTAGCCGTAGATCGTGCTGAGGTTACATTATACCCATAAACTACACAGGGGCAGCTATTTGTCATGATGTTATGCAATTATACTAAAACAGGCGCAACTATTGGTTGATGTGATGAAACTATTGGTTAAAACGTGATCAAATTATACCAATATAGTAGCAGCTATAGGGCATAACGTGAGCCAATCACACCACTACAGGGACTGATAAACATGAGCCAACGACCCATGAGTCTGATTAGGATTAGACATTAAAATTAGAATACTATATATAATATTTAATACTATAAATATAAGTACATGAACATAATACTTTTTACTCTTTATGATATACATCAATATGAATATGAATATATACTACCTAATATCAAATATCTATCCATCTACTGTCTACATATAAGTATATATATACTATCAGGAGCGTATAATGACAAATTGTCATTATACAATAATTTTGTCATTATAATTTAATTTAATTTAATTTAATTAACTTAAATTAATTAATTTAATTTAATTTAATTTATATTTTATGATATAATTTGTCATTATACGCTCCTGATACTATAATACTATCTAACCCTATCTAACCCTATATCTAAGCATGGCGGCTAGCGTGAACAGGACACGATGACGCAGCGTTGACGCGACGGTCCCACACTCACTCGGTGTGTCCTTGGAAGACGTTGACGGAGTGCATCGACCGATCTCTGAAGTCCCACAGTCGGAACGTCGTGTCCTTCGACGATGTGACGACCAGCTTCTGGCTCGGGTGCGTGCTCGCGTGAGTCAACTCCTGGTCATGGCCTGCAGCCACGAGAAAGAAGGTGTAGAGAAGATGGGGAGGAGAAGAAAGACGCACGGAGAGATTCAAGGGGCAGAGAAACCCGTGAGAGGGCCGCACCACTGCATACACTACTCTGCTGCACATCCTGCTCTGCTGCACATCCTGCTCTGCTGCACATATTACTCTGCTGCACATCCTGCTCTGCTGCACGTACTACTCTGCTGCACATCCTGCTCTGCTGCACATGGCACGTAACATGCGTTAAACATTCCTGCTTGCGTTGCAAACGACTCCACGCAATGTCGCATAGACGACGGACCACCACAGCGAAGGAACGCGCCGGCGGCACCCTCTCGCGGCCAGCAGGTGGCGCCTCACCTACGAGCGACTGCAGCAGCTCTCCCGTCGCCGCGTCGTAGACGTTCGCCGCGCGATCCCACGACGCCGTCACGATCTGGTCGCCGGCGGCCATCCAGTCGGCGGCGATGATCACGCTCGTGTGTCCGCGCAGCTCCGTCGACGGCGTCCGAATCACAGCCGACTCCACGTGGTCCGCAGCCTCTGCAAGCGAGCGAGATGCGGGGGTAAGACGGGGGCATTGCCGCGGCGACCACGCGCGCGGTTGCCGGGGAGTGAGCAGTAAGTGAGTGGAAGGGGCGTCGTTGCCGGGGCGGTCACGTGCGTGGTTGATGGATGGTGGGTGCGGGAAGGAGGCGAGAGCATGCTGAACGAGAGAAGTTGTGCACTCTCTGAATCTGCCGTTTCTTTTAGAACACTCACAAGTGGTGCTCTGTAGCTTAAAGCCACAATATGCACATCTGCACGCTAATTTCTTCAGTACTAGACTAGCAAATACTTCGTGTCATGCATAATCATACTACCTTATGACAAAATAAACTCTAGTTCCTCCCATTTCACTGCGCGTTGTCTTATAAAAAGTATTTGAAAATACCTCCAATGTTGTTCAAATTCTCCGATGTTGTTGATACTTTCGCGTTGCTCTGCCAAGCAACCGTACAGCAGGTGTAGCAAAGATTTTTACGGCCCGTGTGCGTTTTTCGCTCGCACGCTGCTAGCGCAATGACATGTTATCGTTCGCGATATCAAGCCTAAAATCAATACGTTATTCTCAGAGTTTATTACGCTGCCTATTATTACTTTCCCAATAGCCACTGATGTTAAATACACTGCAGTTCACAATACTACAACTATCTTAAAATGTAAACGACAATATTTTCTGCTCAACACCCGTAGCAACATGTGACGTCACCTAACCGATTCGCGGCGAAATTGCTTGGCAAACAATTCGGCGTTGGCGCCAGATTATCAGATTTCGCACCTCTTTCTTGTGGGTTTTAAGCAAACGCGCAGTGAAATGGGAGGAACTAGAGTTTATTTTGTCATAAGGTAGTGTGATTATGCATGTCACGAAGTATTTGCTAGTCTAGTACTGGAGAAATTAGCGTGTAGATGCGCATATTGTGGCTTTAAACGACTTCTCTATCTATGCTTTGCTAAATAGAGAGAAACAGAATGAATACCTTCCATGTCTTCTTTCTCTGACATGTCGACTTCATCTTCAGAAGAATGAGCTTTCTGGAAACACGTAAGTAGATCGTTAGGCATGGCTGTTAACCATAAAGTACCCTCTAACCATGGACGACGAATCTACCGTGTGCACTTACACTGGGAAACTTTACCCATGGGGAATACATCAACGAAAACAAGCAAGGCAAAAACCATGATGCTCGCCACTCCTTGATTCCCGTAAACTCTATCTTTAGAGAGTTAATGTGGTTGTATCCCCTACGGCTATCCAACCACGATAACTCTCCGAAGATAAAGGTTCCAGGAATCAAAGAGTGGAGAGCATCATGGTAAACCACGAACCACACCATCATTCACTGTCACAAGTTCACAACCCATTTCCCCGGGAGAATTACCACAGGAAGGAACCTAGTTATGCTGTTACTTCCCAACTGCAAACTAGGGGAGGGGCAACATCATCATTCACTGTAACCATCCATGTCCTCAGAGGAATCACTACAGGAAAGTACCTAGTCACTTCCCCACTGCAAACACGGGGGAGGGCAACACCTTCGTTCACTGTTACCTCCTGATTGCTGGGTGTCACAGCGGCCATCCATATGTGAGCAGTGTTGTCTCCGGACGCTGTCACCACCAGCTGGTTGTAAGGGTGGAACTTTATCGAGTTCACCGAGCCAGTGTGACCCATGTACTGCAGCAGGCAGCTGCTGGAGCAAGCATCCCACACCCGCGCCGTGTGGTCTGTAACGGTAAGCAGTGAGGGTAGAGGCGTGGGAAAGCATGCACTGTGAAGCTCTAACGTGTGTCTCCTCCCTCGCTCATCAATTCTTGATATTCCTACACCTCCTCTTATTCTCTTTTTCTGTCTCTCTCTCTCTCTCTCTCCCCTTCAGACTGTCCCTGCTTCGTATATCTCACTTCCTATCTCTGCCTGTATCTCTCTGTGTGTGTTTCTCTATCTACTTGCTTGTTTTTTCTCTCTATCTGTCCACCTTACTTACAACTGCACCACCACACACTGTCACCACACACTGTGACCACACACTGTTGTCACCACACACTGTCACCACACAGTGTCACCAACAACTGTCACCACACACTGTCACCACACACTGTCACCACACACTGTCACCACACATTGTCACCACACACTGTCACCACACACTGTCACCACACACTGTCACCACATTTTGTCACCACAGTGTCACCACACAATATCACAATGCATGTTAATCACGCACCATCACCACACATCGTGTCACCACCCGTCGTCACCACACACCATGTCACCACACACCATGTCACCACCTGTCGTCACCACTCTCCACTCACCAGACTAGCAAAACTCACCGGCTGACGCGGTTCCGATGATTCCGTCTGTAGATGGGCACCAGCACACGTCCCACACGCCGTCTCTGTGTCCCTTGTACTCGCGCACGAGCTGGCAGCCGGAGGAGCCAGTCTTAAAGCTCGAGACAATCTTGCTCGTCGATGCCTTGTACGTTGTCTTGATCTTCTGGCTAAACTGGCTGGCTGTACGAATCAATGCGGAGAAAGGGAAGTGTGAATCAACGAGAAAGTAGAAGAAGAAGCATGAATCAAGAAAGAAGAAGCGTAAATCAAGAAGAAAGAAGCATGAATCAAGAAAGAAGAAGCGTAAATCAAGAAGAAAGAAGCATGAATCAAGAAAGAAGAAGCGAAATCAAGAAGAAGAAGAAGCAGCAAATCTTACCGCGTGCCATCCACTGTGGCAGCAATCTTCAGTACTCGCCTATTGTGAGTATTTGTAGGTGGAAGGTGAATGAGGGAGAGAGTAAAGAAGTAATGAGCGTGAGTGAGGAAGGGTGGGTCGGGTTAAACGAATGAAGAGACCGGGGTAGAGGATGGAGATTTGAGAGGCTGGGTAGACGGCAGAGAGTGTACAAGCTTGTTGAGTGGATGATGAACGAGGTCAGGGTGGTTGGCAGAGCATGCAAAAACTGGTTAATAAAGAATGTAGGATGCAGACGCTTGGTGACAGAGAATAGATGACAAGGAGGCTGGGTGATTCGCACACCATGTAGAGAGACTGGCGGATCAAAGCATGGCGGATGCCGGCCAAGGATGAGGAAGCTGCGTGCACGCTTGGCGTTGCCGCGGGTAACAAGAGGAAGCTTACGTTTATTCTTGCCTCCCTTTGGCGCGATCTCTGACACGTCTGCATCCTTGTCCAGCTGTCGGTCCAGAGCCAGCTCTAACCTCTCATTCAGCTGGTCCACCTTCTCCTGCACTGCAACACACGACAAGACACCGTCACCCGACCGCCGGCCCCGTCCACAGGTGGCGCCGCTACACGTGCTCACACGAGCGCCACCTGCAGGAGGAATTGCGCTCACGGCTAACGTGTTACGCCGAGGAAAACCGTGTTAGCACGCGGTGAGAAAAAATACGTCAATTTTTAAATGGACTACGATAAAGATGATACCAGAACACGTATGCAGAGCAGACAAGATAGATGTCGTGGCAGAAAGAGCAGATAAGACAGAGGTCCTGAGTGAAATCCACGCAGTAACGCATAAATCTACGGGAGGGACACTGTATGATCCGGTTAGATAACTTACTTAGTTCAATTAATTAGTTAATTTACACGGAGACGTCGCACGGCAAACCGCAGCCCACCGAGGTCGCAACAATGTGGGGAGGAGAGCAGGGAATGATGCCCACCGCCGGCCACGACCCGACGAACCACACGGGCGCCACATGGTGGCAGCTTGCGGGTCATGCAGCGCCCCCCCCCTCCTTCCCCGCCGGCAACAGCATAAACAAGCGGCGTGTTGTTGCAGCGAGCGCGAACAAACAACAGCACGCGCTCGCGCTTAGTTCTCGCGCAATTATCTTACACTGTGCATCTGCGGGCGACGGACTTTAACTCGACTACAGCTTGATGCGCCCAGTGTTCTATCGCCCAGGTTTCTATCCCAGTGTGTGCTGATGTGAGTGTGGTACTGGTAGCCCCGAGTATAGCCTGAGGGTGGTGACAGTCCCTGTGGGAAGTGTGAGAAGCTCTGGCGGGTGTCACCAGTCTAGAGCGCGTGCATGAGCACACACTTGCTCTCTATTTCTCATTCCCTCTATTGTACTATCCCTCTCTCATATCTCTCACTTCCTATCTCCGTCTGTCCCTCTCTCTCTCTCTCTCTCTCTCTGTGTGTTTCTCTATCTAGCTCCCTCTCTTCTCTATTTCTCCAGCTTACACCCAACGATCGCACCGTGACGACAACGCCGATAACACGCAGTTCTCGCGTCAGCGGTGAAGCCATTGAAGCCACGGTGATGATGCGTTGCCGTGGCAACCGGCGCGCTACTTACGCGCGACATTCTCGACGTAGAGATTCTGGAACTCCTTCTCGATGTGATCGAAGAGGTCGTAGAGGCGAGATCTGCGGGAGAGAGAGAGAGAGATGATATATAATAGTCTATAATATAATATGATGCGATATATGATAGATAATATACAAAGGATAGCGTGAATTAGCATGGGTGCGTCGCTGTCGTCCCGACAAACATAGTTTAAAAAAAATAGTTGATGGTTGACAGTTGACAGTTGCCAGTTGACAGTTTTACAGTGTGACAAATACAGGTCGTATAGAGGCAATATTGGCGGGAGAGAGAGACATGACAGTTAGTGTGAAACCTCAGGGGTGAGTCACTGAGGTTGTAGAGGCAGGAGAGAGAGATTATGGAGGACAGTCAAGATATTTAACACAGCAGAGATAGTTAAGATAGATAGCATGAAATTGCAGGGGTGCGTCACTGGGTCGCCTCGACGAAAATAGTTACGTTTGATGATAAACAACGTGTCCGTGGGAGGAGGGGGGGGGGCTGAGACACCGCGGCCAGCAATCGCCTCTGTTTGCACGACGAGTTATAGCGGGGCTTGTCAATAGCACTTTGCCCCGCGCGAGCGTGCATCCACCACTACAGCCGCGTTACGTCTTGCACGCTCCACACCTACGTCGACCTACATTTGTGTAGACAGGTAGTGATGATTGAGGGTCAACCTAGAGTAGATTCGGGGCGGAGTCATACACACAAGTTTGTAAAGATTAGAAAGATGACAGACACATACGGTACCCCCCCACACAGTGTCGTGTTTACCTCGACGAGAACTCGATGGAAAAATACCGAGGAAGATTGTAAGTAGACATGTACGCCACGGACTAGACCTGCATCAGGGAGCGTACATGTACAGCCACTGTGACGTATCTGTTGTTTGTGTACGTTTGTACGAATCAGCGATTTCCGGCCAGCAGACAAGAGTCTCGCATCGTCACCAGGTGGCAGTCGAGTGGCACTTGGCAACTCCAGTTAATTATAATTTTCAGGCTTTCTGTTTTTTAAGGCGCGGGCGCACTAAATATTTCACACGCGCTCGTTGAAAATTTTATAATGAATACATAACGCGTTCCAACCTTGGCGACTGATGGAAACGAGCGAAACGCTAATGGAGCGGCGGCGATTCGGATCGCTGAAAGAGCCGGCGGATCGTGTGATTGTTTTTGAGCGAGGTTGATGGCGGCGCGGGCCGCAGGGAAATCACTCGCCGCGGCGATGGCGGCCACGCGATCGCCACGAGGAGCGTGCTCCAGCCACCGGGAAATTACGAACGCGGCGTCCCGGCCGGCCCCTCCGATCCTCCCTCAACCATGCCGAGGCCCCCCCTTCCTTCCTCCCACCACCACCGCGCGGCCTGTTCGGGGAAACCTTCCTGCCAGCACCACTGCCTGCCTGACAACGGCAGCTAAGCGACATGCCACGGCCACGTGCTGAGACGCGGACGCATGCATTATGGATGGATGCTGCGCTAGGTGCGTGGCTTCCAGCTTCCGTGGATCGCGGCGGCGCGCGCGTGCGGAGGATGGGGTTATGCTCCCGCTAACCCCGCACGCATGCTGGCAGCTGCCTGCACGCTGCGTGGTGATATCCAGGGTAGCTGGTTGATCAATTAGGTATGCTGGGCTGAGTTTGCTGCTGATGATGTTGTTGTTGTTGTGTGGCAGTAACGATAGCCCTCACTGAACACACTGCAATATTCTTCGTCTATTGTTTGTTGTTGTTGTTGGTGGTGGTGTTCTTGTTGTTGTTGTTGTTGTTGTTGTTGTTGGTGGTGGTGTTCTTGTTGTTCTTCTTCCTCCTGCTCTTGCTCGTTCTCTTCCGTTTCATCCTTACCTTCTTCTTCGTCTACTACTCTTCTTCCTTTTCTTTCTCTTCTCCTCCTTCTCCTCCTCCTCCTCCTCCTTCTTCTTCTCCTCCTCCTCCTCCTCCTTCTTCT